GCTGGAACGCTTCTAGTGACCATATTGCCACCTGAGGGGCACTTGATACTTTTGTTATCGTCCCTTTCCTTAACTAGCTCTCCTTGCTACTGACGGTGTAAAAGATCAGCGTTTATTTTCAGTATTTTTAGAATTTAGTATTCTTGCACTTTTTGGTTTTAATGTTTAAAAGTCACATATTAAGAAACATTGCTGGCCGGGCGCGGTGGCTCACGCCTGTAATCCTAGCACTCTGGGAGGCCGAGACAGGTGGATTGTTTGAGCTCAGGAATTCGAGACCAGCCTGAGCAAGAGCAAGACCCCATCTCTACTAAAAATAGAAAGAAATTAGCTGGACAACTAAAAATATATAAAAAAAATTAGCGGGCACGGTGGCGCATGCCTGTAGTCCCAGCTACTCGGGAGGCTGAGGCAGGAGGATCGCTTGAGCCCAGGAGTTTGAGGTTGCAGTGAGCTAGGATGATGCCACGGCACTCTACACAAGGCAACAGAGGGAGACTCTGTCTCAGGAAAAAAAAAAAAAGAACCATTGCCTTCAGGTACTGGCTTTCCTTCGTTCCTTTCGTGGTGGAACTATATTGTTGCAACGTTTCTTCTTAGGTTGTGTTTTCCATTTAAAACTGTTCGTGGTGGTGTCCACAGGAAGACTTCTCTTTCAGGAAAGGCATCAGTGTCTAGAGAGGGACCTTCTTCGGAACACACCCTAAGACAGTTGTTGGGGCCTACAGGCCTTGGGTGAGTGAGGCTTAGTGTGGTTTTAGGACTTGTGTTTTTCTTGCTCTGTGAGAATTCATGACCTTTTGTCATTTAGAGCATTTCTTACTGTCCTTATTGCTGTCCTCACTGACTATTCCCATCAACATTCTTCAATGGATCTACTTCCTGTGTGAAATCTGAATGTGAAGGAACACTGGGCCAGGCAGTATTAACTCACCTCTGCCATAGTTTGAATGTTTCCATAGTTTTGAATATTTCATGTATTCACTTTTCTTCGTGTGGATGTGTTTAAAGTAATTTTTGGTGACTAAAGTTGCATTAAAATAGCATAGCATATGCACATTTTTACTTCCGTTTAAACTTCTTTCCTTCGTAGAAATCCCTTTCTCTATATATTTAAAATCTTATTTTCCCTTCAACCTTCTTCAAACTGTTAGCTAAGTTTTGCTTGGGAGAATGTTCTATGTCTTGAAATTAGGATGGTTAATTACAATTCCTTTTAATGATTTGCCTTCTCTATTTACCCTGGGGATAAATACACAAAATCAAAAGCATTATTAATAATATAAACTTGTTTTCTCATACATATACTTACCTACTTTATAGATACTTATCTATCTTGTTAAAACCTAAGACTAGTGATTTTATATTTTAAAAACGCATTTTTCAGAGCATGATGGATGTTTAGGATATGGATGAGAAGGGTAAAGACCTATGTCTTTTTTGAGGTAATATCCAGGTGGTTATCTCAACTTCATATTTTCTGTATGGATTTTGGGGTGACTCTTATGTACTCACATTCTTAAAAAACCTATTTGGGATAATTCTTCTCTTGTTTAGAAAAAAACCCACTGATGCCACAATTTTGTAATTTAAACTCTATTTCATTTTAGGAACTTTTTACTGTTTTAATAATAGCTTTATTGAGGTATAATTCACATGCCATAATGTTTACTCTTTCAAATTGTACATTGTGTGGTTTTTGATATATTCACAAAGTTGTGCATCAATCACTACCATCTACTTCCAGAAGATTTTCATCACCCCCAAAAGAAAGCTGGTACCTCCCAGCAGTCATTCCCATTCCCTTCATCTCTACGGATTTGCCTTTTCTGGGCACGGATGTATGTTTTCATTTCTCTTTGCTATATACATAATAGTGGGATAGCTCGGTCATATGGTAACTCTAATTTTAACCTTTTGAGTACCTCCCAGTTTCTAAGACAGTTTCAGTATTTTACATTTCTACCAGCAATTTATGATGGTTCCAATTTATCCATTCAATAACACATACATTATAAGCCTGTCAACACAGTTTTATAATCATTACTTTATGTAGTTGTCTTTTAAATCAGAAGAGAAAAGAAAAGATTTACCAAAAAAATTGCATTTATGTTGTCTTTTATATTTACCCGTGTGTATATACCATTAGCTCTGTTTTCTGTTTTTCCATGTGGATTCGAGTTGCTGTCTAGCATCCTTTCATTTCAGCCTGAGGAACTCCATTTAGTGTTTCTTGGAGGGTAGGTCTGCTAGGGATGAATTCTCTTAGTTTTTATCTGGGGAATATGTTAATTTCTCACTATGCTTGAATGATTTTTCCAATTATAGAATTCTTGGTTCATAGTCTTTTTCTGTCTGCACATTGGATATGTCATCCCCTGCCTTCTGGTCTCTCTTGTTTTTTATTTGAAGTTTCTAATCATTTTCAGGACCTCTTGTGTAATCACTCTTCACCATTTTCAAAATTCTTTGTCTTTCAACAGTTCAATTATGATGTATCTAGGTGAGGATGTGTTCGAATTTATCCTCTTTGGGGGCTTATTGGGCTTCTTGGATGTACAAATTAATTTTTATGTCAATTTTAGTAGACTATTTTTTAGAGCAGTTTTAGGTTTACAGAAAAATTGTACAGAAAGTACAGCATTCCCATTTATTCTCTCACACTGTTTCCCCTATTATTAACATCTTGCATTAGTGCGGTACATTTGTTACAATTAAACCAATATTTACACTTTATTTATTTATTTATTTTGAGGTAGAGTCTCGCTGTGTCTGCCTGGCTAGAGTGCAGTGGTGTGATCATAGCTCACTACAACCTCAAACTACTGGGCTCAAGCGATTCTCCTGCCTCAACTTACCAAGTAGCTGGGACTATAGGCGTGCACCACCACATCTGGCTAATTTTTTCTATTTTCAGTAGAGACAGGGTCTTGCTCTTGCTCATGCTGGTCTCGAACTGAGCACTAGCAATCCTCCTGCCTTGGCCTCCCAGAATGCTAAGATTACAGGCATGAGCCACCGTGTCCGGCCACCATTGTGAATTAATTATTGATATATTATTATTATTGAGGGTTCACTCTTTTTGTTGTACATTCTATGCATTTTGCAAATGCATGTAATTTAACGACTTTACAGTAACATGCAAATTAGTTTCACTGTCCTAAAAAACTCCCTATGCTCTACCTATTCATTTCGTTCTCCCTTCTCTCAATCCCCTGTTAAACACTGACAGTTTTACAATCTCTATTATTTTGCCTTTTCTAGAATGTCATATAATTGAAATCATGCAGTATGTAATTTTTGCCAACTGGCTTCTTTTACTTAGTAATATTCACTTAAAGTTCCTCTATATCTTTTTGTGGCTTGATAGCTTATTTCTTTTATCACTGAATAATATTCCATCGTATGGATGTACCACAGTTTGTTTATCCAGTCACCTATTGAAGGACATCTTGGTTATTTCAAAATTTTGGCAATTATGAGTGAAGCTGCTATAAACATTCATATGCAGGTTTTTGTGTGGACATACATTTCAACTCATTTGGGTAAATATCTAGGAACATGACCTGATTATTGGGTTGAATGGTTAGCCTACTTTTAGCTTTGTATGAAACCACCAATCTGTCTGCCAAAGTGGATATGCCATTTTGCATACTTGGATGTCTTTGAGCCTCTTGGATGTGCAGATTAATTTTTTAAAATCAAATTTGGAAATTTTTGAGCAATTATTCAGATATTCTTTTTGTCCCCCTCTTTCTCTCTCTGCTTTCCTTCTGGAGCTCCTGTTACACATTTGTTGATGTGCTTGACAGTGTCTCACAGGTCTCTGAGGCTTTGTTTAGTTTTTAAATTCTTTTCTGTTTTTGTTCCTCAAACTGGTTACTGTCAATTGACCTGTGTTCACTTTCACCGATTCTTTCATCTTTCAGTTCAAATCTACTGTTGGACCCCTCTAGTCATTTTTTCCATTCAGTTATTGTACTTTTCAAATTCCAGATATCTACTGGGTTTTTTAAAATAATTCCTGTTTCTGTATTGAAATTCTCAATTTGATTAGATATCATTCTCATATTTCTTTAGTTCTTTAGTTCTTTAAACATATAATAATAATAGCTGATTTCAAGTTTTTGTTAAGTCCAATGCCTGGGCTTCCTTGGGAACATTTTTATTGACTGCTTTTTTTTTTTTTTTCTGTGTATGGGCCACACTTTTGTATTTCTTCACATGCCTTGTAATTTCTTAAATTGAAACTGGGCATTTTGTCATATAATATGTGAGCTCTGGAAATTAGTCTTCCATACCTATCTACCCTGCTCAGGGTTTGTTGTTTTGCTATTTGTTCGTTTAGTGGCTTTCCCAGACCAATTTTCTAAAGTTTATATTCTTTGTTGTGTAAGACCCACTCAAGTCTCTGCTCAGTTGGCTTAGTGGTCTGCTAATGATTGGAAAGAGATTTCCTTAAATACCTTGAACCAATAAGGGGCAGGAATTGCTTAGGAGTATATTTTTGTTTAGTATTTTAATGTTTAGTTGTTCAAATTCTTATGTCTTGTAACTGAATTTCCCCACGTTTGTTTTCTAATAGAGGGTGGGAGTGGGGTGGTGGTCAAGATATTTGGAAATGAAGTGAGCAACTAATTCACTTGTAGAATAGTATATCAGTGAGCATGAGGACTCTTCACAGTGGGGTCAGGATATGTTGGATTTTCCAGTCATGTTGGACCATTAAACTGTTCTTTGGTACACACTGTAGGTGCTACTAGAGTTTTCTTTCAAAGAGCTTAACCTAATTTCAGGATGTTCTCAAACCTTTAGCAATCCACATAGAGTTAGAAAAATAAGTAGGATGGGAAAGAAGACAATTTTAAAGGAAAGAAATCAACCAGCCATAATTTTGAGGAAAAACAGTAAATATGTAGGATTAGTTCACCAGCATGATTTCTGAGTGTTCGTGTACTACATGTGCGTATATATTCCTTCACACATTTCCCTTTTCACAGATTTTTTAAAAAGCCTCATGGAACATATCACCATTGCTGGATGCCTGGCACATACAAGACAGCTGACAGCATGAGAGGTACTCTGAATGGGTACAGGATGTCACCTGGAATCCGAGCACTACATGATCCGGACTTTCCTTAATTCTAAATGGTAAAATGTCTAAATACTTTTCTTTCTTTTTTTTTCGTTGTTTTTTGTTGTTGTTGTTGTTGTTGTTGAGACAGAGTCTCACTCTGCTGCCCTGGGTAGAGTTGCAGTGGTGTCATTGTAGCTCACTGCAGCCTCAATCTCCTGGGCTTAAGCGATCCTTCTTCCTGGCCCTCTGGGGTAGCTGGGACTACAGGCACGCGCCACAATGCCTGGCTGTTTTTTTTTTTTTTTCTTTTTGGTAGAGACCGGGTCTCACTCTTGCTCAGGCTGGTCTCGACCTCCTGAGCTCAAGCAATCCTCCTGCCTCAGCCTCCCAGAGTGCTAGGATTACAGGTGTGAGCCACCTCACCCAGCCTAAATACTTTTCTTAAGATTATTCTATACTAATAATGATCAATTATTTATTTTTATTTGTATTATTAATGCTCACAGTTTATTTCCTAATGAAATATTTAAAAGTTTGAGTGTTAATTCTGATGTTAAAAACTAGTTTCAAATCTTTATAAATCTGTTATGGAGACAGTTGATGGTATTTGACTTTCTCTTTTAGAGCAACAGCATTTGTTAATTTTAGAACCAATTACCAAGTTATAAAATTGATTTTTGAAAACAAAACAATGTTTAAATGTTTGTAAGCATTTTATATAGTAAAATTGGGTTGGGTCTCTGAAATTTGAATGTCAACAAAAGGTCCGTCCCTAAATTACAAATCATATACACTATTGTTTTCTGCAAGATATAATTGTTGTAATCTGTTATAACTAACACAGACAATCTAAGGCTGCATATCTATTTTGGATTGTGAATATTTTGCCTTCCTGTAGTGCCTGGCATAGAAGTGAACTCAATGTGAGGTCAATCCAACACAGTTCCAAATTAGGTCTAGTGTCAGCTGAGCCCTTTCAATACAGTTTGAAAATTCAGTTGACCTGCCCTTCCTCGAAAGATTCTTAGAAGTCGCATCCATTTCTGAACTTCTCCCTAAGTGTGCCCCAAATCCTAAATCAGCAAAAAGCAGAATGGATCTGATCTCTTCAAATCTTCAGGGCTGCTGACACCAGCCAGTGGGCATTAAGAGATGTCAGGAGGAACTTAAATTAGTAACGATTTCAAGAAAAGGGTTGCTAATTCTTCGAAGTGGCACAGTATCAAAAACTCACCAACTATGGACAGTTTAGTAATTATAGCCTAGGTCTTCCATAGTGTTTTTGCACTTCAACTTACCTGGGAGGCAAAATGTTTATTATAGTACATTAGTAAAATATTTATTGTAGGATATTCTGGTACTTCCTTGTACTAGGCTTTCGTAGTTTTCTTTTTTTGTTGTTTTTTTGGGGTTGTTTTTTGTTTTTTTGGCTTTTCTTTCTTTTTCAATCTGTGGGATCAATACTAGAGACTGTGGGTTTCCTATAATACTACCCCTTTTTCTCTGACTGACCCACTTTGTCTTTGCTTTAAACATCTAGCCTCATAGCAAAGAGGACAGTTTTTGAGCCTGAGAAAACTCCATTTATATATAGAAATCATTTCTATTTTTCTTTCAGTGCTGTTCTTCATTCCAAGATGCTTTTGCACTTCTGATAAATGCAAACTGACAACTGTCAAGGCCACGACGGAGGGAAAATCGTTGGTCCTGGAAGCCTAGAAGACTTCCCTTAACAAGGAAAGTCTCTGATTGTTTGTTTGAAATGCTGAAGAAGTTGCTGCGGAGAAGACTTTTTTCTTATCCCACTAAATACTGCTTTGTGGTTCTTATTTTTTCCCTGGTCACCTTCTCTTTTGTAAGGATTCATCAAAAGCCTGAATTTGTAAGCATCAGACACTTGCAGCTGGTCGGAGAGAATCCTAGTAGTAATATTAATTGCACCAAAGTTTTACAGGGTGATGTAGATGAAATCCAAAAGGTAAAGCTTGAGATGCTCACGGTAAAATTCAGAAAGCGCACTCGGTGGACACCTCACGACTACATAAACATGACCACTGACTGCACTTCTTTCATCAAGAGGCGCAAATATATTATGGAACCCCTTAGTAAAGAAGAGGCGCAGTTTCCAATAGCATATTCTATAGTGGTTCATCACAAAATTGAAATGCTGGACAGGCTCCTGAGGGCCATCTATATGCCTCAGAATTTCTATTGCATTCACGTGGACAGAAAATCAGAGGAGTCCTTCTTAGCTGCAGTGATGGGCATTGCGTCCTGTTTCAGTAATGTCTTCGTGGCCAGTCAGCTGGAGAGTGTGGTTTATGCATCTTGGAGTCGGGTTCAGGCCGATCTCAACTGCATGAAGGACCTCTACAGAATGAGTGCACCCTGGAAGTACTTAATAAATCTTTGCGGTATGGATTTTCCTATTAAAACCAACCTAGAAATTGTCAGGAAGCTCAAGTCGTTCATGGGTGAAAACAACCTTGAAACCGAGAAGATGCCCTCCAATAAAGAAGAAAGGTGGAAAAAGCGGTATGCAGTTGTTAATGGAAAGCTGACCAACACGGGGACTGTCAAAATGCGTCCTCCACTTGAAACACCTCTTTTTTCAGGCAGTGCCTATTTTGTGGTCAGCAGGGAGTACGTGGGGTATGTGCTAGAGAATGAAAAAATCCAAAAGTTTATGGAGTGGGCGCAGGACACCTACAGCCCGGATGAGTATCTCTGGGCCACTATCCAAAGGATCCCGGAAGTCCCTGGCTCTCTCTCCTTGAGCCATAAGTACGACTTGTCTGACATGCAGGCAGTTGCCAGGTTTGTCAAGTGGCAGTACTATGAGGGTGACATCTCTAAGGGTGCTCCCTACCCACCCTGCGATGGCGTCCACGTGCGCTCGGTGTGCATTTTTGGAGCTGGAGACTTGAACTGGATGCTGCGCAAGCACCACTTGTTTGCCAATAAGTTCGACGTGGACGTCGACCACTTTGCCATCCAGTGTTTGGATGAACATCTGAGGCATAAAGCTTTAATGGAGACATTAAAGCACTGACCCCCGTGGGCAATTTTAGGATTAATAAGAAAGAGGCTCAAAATGTACCCTGTCTGGTTCCTCTTACTTGTCAATATGCATCAGAAAAATTATATGGGGTCCTCTTTGGAGTAGGGCCTCTAAGTCTTTACATCACAGAAGCCTCATGGTTTCTGCAGAGCACAATTGGTTAGAAAGGTTATAGCATTAAGTATTGCTGTGGGGTTAATGTGAAGGAGAGACAGTAGCTGTGAGGCCAGGGCAGGGAGCAAGGCATTCTGGAGAGGGAGGCTGGAGGGAGAAGAAAGAGGCCAATGCAAAAAAATCAGCCTATTAAAGGAGCTCAGGGACTTAACAAAATGAGAAGATTTGACCTGTGCCAAAATTATTATGAGAATTTTAAATATGGCCGTTTTTCTGGTACAGAGAAATTTGTAGCAACAATCATAAAGATACAGTTTATCTTCTGTTATATGAGATATTGAAATAGAAATTGGATTTTACTTTAAACGATCCCTGTGAATTATTTTCTGCTGTAACGTTGTGCTGTGTAGTGTGTCTCTGTGTCATCTCAGGGAGCTTAAAATGGGCTTGATTTAACATTAATATTTTTGTGTTATTTTTGCTTGTAACTGCACATGTGTTTTCAAAAGCCAAAAAATGACAATTTCTAGTTCAGTTAATTTTTATGAATCGTCTTAGGTTATTAAAAAGTTAAGTCATCTTTTTTTATAAAGAATTAAATTGCTCACCGGGATAGCTGTTTAAATTCTAGTTTCTACAAAGAGTAACACTCAGTTTTTTCAAAGATTTGTCTTTATACTCTTCCCCCAGTCTCCCCAGACCCTGCTATTAACCTGTGCAATAATTTACTTTCACAGGACCCTATATTACTCTCTCGTTCTCTGATGTGACCTAATTGCCAGTAATTAGCACAGAGAACTAAGAAAGGGTGAAGTAGGTTTGGGGGGTGGTATAGGGGGAAGGAATCTATTTTGATAATTTCTGAGGCCCACGATGAGTTTGAAAAACCAGCAGTTGGCGCTATCCCCAGAAATGAACACTGTTGCTCATTGGACCCACTTGTGTCCAGCCTTTCAGGTCATTACATCCTAATGTCACCTGTGCCTTTATTTGAAAGGACCTGGCCCCTCTCCTTGGGTCTTCATGTTATCTGCCCATTGGCTGTAAGTTTCCTCTTTTCTCATAACCTTCTATGAGAAGGAAAGAAGTGTGGTGTTACCACGCCCCCGCCCCCCACCAATGGTGTATTGAAGGCCTGGGAAGAGGGCTTTAGGTTTGGGACAGATTGTTTCAGTGCTGGTATTATTCACAACTACGGTTTTTGCTCTATTTTCACCAAAAGATAGATGATTTGGGGTTGCTATGGTGCTATCCCATATCTCCAAGTAAATGAAAATTTGAAAAGAAAAAAAACATTCTTGTCATTTTGCTAAGTTGATACTGTTCAACCAACGATCTAACAGGAACTGTAAAGCTTTGTCATTTAGCATTAGACTTTAAACAAGAACCAAAAGCATATGCTTTATTTTTAAAACATAGCAACTTAAATGGTACATGAGAAATTCAGAATATCAGATGGTTTTAAGGCATTCAACTGAAGAAACATTTTTATTCCTCGAAGTTAGAAAATATTTTCATTTTACTGAGAGGTGTGTTTTTAAACCTTTACCATCATATTTGTAAATGTGGGAGTCAGTGGATTGCTGTGTTTTTGCATGATTAGCATGACAGTGAGTGTTGGACCAAGAGGTGCATGTTTGCTTCGAAAACTCAAGGGATGACGTTAATGGGGCTGTTATATGCAATGGGTTCTCTCTCTGTTGGCTTCTAACCAGTTTTTTCCTTTAACGTCTATCAAATATTTCTCCCATGCTCCTTTTAGCAGAAAGGTTTTTACCTACAAGATAGGGCACTTTTTTTCTCTGAAACGAGTGATACTCAGTGACATCTACCTTATGTGTATGTCTTACAGGAATTTTTCCACTTTTTATTTTGAAAATTTGCAAATCTGTGGGAAAGTTAAAACAATAGTACGGTGATCACCATATAATCCTCACTCGGATTACCAGTTGTTAACCTAGTACCCTCTTTGCTTTAAGGTGTATGTGTTTTTGAATTTAGCAAAAATGGAAATTAAAAATTTTTTAAATTACAAATATACAAAGTTATTCATCTCAACATGTTTATTATAGTCTGACTGCATCTGATTTATATTTAAATTGGCAAGTTTTGAGGGATTTTTTTCTTCTTTTTTTACCATGGGTATAAAAATAGGATTTTGGAGTCGGTTTCCCCAAGCCCCACATTAAAACTGTGAGCCCACTGTCTTCTGTGTAGCTGTGATATCTCATCTTTCTAGAATGGCACTTGTTGAAATGCATTCAAACACTACCTGGTCCCTAATACCTGCCACAGGGATTCTGTAGGATTCCTTCATTGGGACTCAAAGTATCTTATTTTTAAACTTTTTAGTATAACTTAAAGCAAATGAAATTTAGACTACCATAATAAGAAATTTAAAGAATCAAAAAGATTGTTTGGAGAGGAAGCCAATCATGCCTCCCAAGTTTGGGAGAAATATAGAAAGTATTTAAATTACTTCATATGTTATTAAACACTAATTTCTTTGTACTGTCATTTGAGGTCTTCTATAGGGAATTTTTAGAAATCTCATTCACAAATGAGAAGTTCTTAAACATACGTAAATGGAAATTTTGATGAAAGGATTCTAGTTAATTACTGCTACATCTAGATTTACGTATTTCTTATCAAGGGCAAGAGTGTGACACGATGATTCTTTATTTTACAGGCAATTACCTAGGCTCTTCCCAGATCACAGTAAATGGCTGCTCAGCCTTGAAAATGTGGAGCGTTATCATTTCTAAATATGTATTTGTTTCATTCATCAAGGACAATTCACCTAAGTAGATTTCCTCTTGTAGTTTGGGTGGAAAGAAGCCATGTTTTAGTTTCTGTAAGGTCAATTAAACTGGACTTTTTTGATTATTTACAAAAATAAAAATCATTTCTCGTGTGAAATACAGATGCTCCTCAACTCACGATGGCTTATGATGCAATTACGTCCCCAAAGTAGATTTAACACACCTAATGTACCAAACATCATACCTTAGCATAGCCTGTAATATGCTCAGAACGCTTACGTTAGCCTACATTTGGGCCAAATCACCTAACACAAAGCCTAATTTATAATAAGGTGTTGAATATCTCATGTAATTTATTGAAGCTGACCTGAAAGTGAAAACAGAATGGTTGTATGGGTACTTGAAGTACGGTTCCTACTAAATGCATATTGCTTTCACATCATCTTAAAGTCAAAAAATGTTATCAAACCATCTTGAGTCAGGGACTGTCCATATAAAATAAATGCAACACTATTTCATGGTAAATGTGGTCATCATAAGTTTTACTCTTTTGAATATGGGTGTGACCGAATGAAATTAGTACCAGTCATTCACCATAAAATCAGCCATTAAGAAACCAATGCCTTGTCTATACAAACTTAATCCTTGTTTGTTAGCCACCAGCTCTCAAATGTTAAATTTAGTAGTTGATGTCATACTTTGTAATGAATGAATGTGTGCCAATAGTGATTAAAAATAAGATTATTTCTCAAGGCAGGAATGTCGGAGGGTAAGGGCTTGTGGCAAAAACAGAAAATTTAACACAGATCATGCAAAAAGATTTCCACAAGGGACTTTGAAAGGATGCAGTTGAATGGCCAATACCGCATTCTAGGACATTAGACACTTCATCTTGTGTCTGCTGAGGGAGGAGAGCCGTTTTCCAGTTAGTAACTCAATGAGTGCAAAGACTGATAGGATCTGTCACTTGCTGTGGTTTGAATGTGACAGGCACAGCTATGGGAAGAGGGACCTCCCTCCCCCAATATTAAGTGCCTGCTACAAATGTCATCACACTTGATCTGTTAAACCCTTCTGGGTACTCTTTAGCCCCGTTTTAGGTGAAACATTCTAGAAAGTGGCAAAATTGATGGATTGCAGATCTTTCTTTAAAGCTTGAGAGCTTTACATATCCTTTATAAGCCTGTTAGTGAAAGATTTCATTTTTTAATATGTGCTTTAAGGTTTTCAAAGCTTGTCATCAGAATATTGATTTAACTTTTTGATACAGTAAGACCCAAACTAGAAATGAATTGAAACTGTTGAAAAAGAAAAGACTGTTGTTACTATTGCAGATGATACAAATGTCCAAGTAGAAAGCTCAGAAATCTAGTCTTAAAATTAATACGAAATTAGCAACTACCTCCAGACATCTAAAAGTTAATAGTTTTCCTATATTCAAGTGAAAAAGATAGTTTTTCTTTTTTTTTTTTTGAGCCAGAGTCTCACTGTGTTGCCCAGGCTAGAGTGTCGTGGCATCAGCCTAGCTCACAGCAACCTCAAACTCCTGGGCTCAA